TCAAACCTTCCCCATAGCAGATGATAATTTCTTCCACTTCAGGAGACATTTGGTGACACTCATTGGCCCGTATCCTGCAGGACTTTAGACTAGATGCTCCTAGTGTGGTCCCTTCTGGCTTTAAAGCCTATGAACATACAGACTTCCCAAGATGTGCGGTCACACCTATTACCAGACGCACTGCAAGAGGTGTGGGTTCCTGTGTGACCTCACTTCTTGAGCGGAGCTGTTTGTCACCTCCCTGTAACCCAAGCATTTTAGTTCTTTTTTTAAACAAACTCACTGACGATTGGAAGGTAGCTAATGTGGTCCCCATCTTCAAGAACGGGAAAAGGGAGGACCCGGGCAACTATAGGCCCGTCAGTCTTACCTCAATCCTGGGGAAGCTCTTTGAGAAGATCATCAAGGAGCACATTTGTGATGGGCCGGCATCAGAAATGATGCTCAGGGGCAATCAGCATGGATTTATTAGGGGGAGATCATGTCAGACCAACCTGATTGCCTTTTATGATCAGGTCACAAAGGCCATGGACGCAGGTGTCGCGGTGGATGTAGTCTTTCTGGACTTCAGCAAGGCCTTTGACACCGTCTCTCACCCCATCCTAATTAATAAACTAGGCGACTGTGGCATAGATGCCTACACGGTCAGATGGATTGCAGATTGGCTGAAGGGTCGCACTCAGAGGGTGGTGGTGGATGGATCATACTCTACTTGGGGGGAGGTGGGTAGTGGAGTCCCCCAGGGCTCGGTCCTGGGGCCTGCGCTGTTCAGTTTCTTCATCAGCGATCTTGATGTTGGGGTGGAAAGCAACCTGTTTAAATTCGCTGATGACACCAAAATTTGGGGGGAGGTGAGCACGCTAGCAGGGAGAGAGAGATTGCAGAAGGATCTGGATAGGTTACAGGGGTGGGCAGACAGGAACAGGATGCGTTTCAATACGGACAAGTGCAGGGTGCTGCACTTGGGTAGTAGGAACCAGCAGCACACTTATACGATGGGGAACTCCCTACTTGAGAGCACGGAGGCGGAAAGGGATCTTGGTGTCATTATTGACTCCAAGATGAACATGGGCCGACAATGCGAGGTCATGGTTGGCAGGGCTAACCGGACCTTGTCGTGCATCCACAGGTGCATCTCGAGTAGAGCCAGGGAGGTGATCCTCCCCCTCTATGCGACGCTGGTCAGGCCGCAGCTGGAGTATTGTGTCCAGTTCTGTGCGCCCCATTTCAGGAGGGATGTGGACAACATGGAGAGGGTCCAGAGGAGGGCCACCCGCATGATCCGGGGACAACAGGGCAGACCCTACAGTGAGAGACTGCGGGACCTGAACCTATTCAGCCTCCACAAGAGAAGGCTGAGGGGGGACCTGGTGACCGTCTATAAACTCACTAGGGGGAACCAGAAGGGTTTGGGGGAGACGCTGTTTCCCCTAGCCCCCGCTGGCATAACAAGGAATAATGGGCACAAGTTGATGGAGAGGAGGTACAGATTGGACATCCGAAAAAACTACTTCACAGTCAGGGCGGCTAGGAGCTGGAACCAACTTCCAAGGGAGGTGGTGCTGGCCCCTACCCTGGGGGTCTTTAAGAAGAGGCTGGATGCCTACCTGGCTGGACTCATTTGAGTCCCATTTTTTGTTTAGGGTTCTGTTGTTGTTCTCCCGCCCTGGCGGGGGGGTCGGGCTAGAAGATCTATTAGGTCCCTTCCGACCCTAAAACTATGAAACTATGAAACTTCATGCAAAGGGCACAGGCACAGCTCAGCAGACCTCCCTCAGCCTGCAGCAGGAAGCCCCCTGCTTTCTGGAGCCCAGTTAAATGTCATTCCACTTTTGAAAGACCCAGCTAAAGTTCAGCTGGTCTTTTGGGTGGCCCCTTAAGATGCGGCTCACCATCACAGTTTATTCAGAAAAAAGATCCTTTTCTCTCTCTCGATGACTACCTACCTATCAAAGCAATATAGGAGAAGGATGAGCAGCCTGAGACAATGTCAAGAGCCCTATGGAAAGGATCCCTGCCACCAGGTCAGCTGTGGAAGTTGCTAGGAATGAGGGGTTTGAAGAAGCAAAAACATATTCCTGCAGGCCTGGGATAAGCTGGGTGCCCCATTTGATGGTCAGGGTCCCCTTCTGACTATTCAGCCCTCTCCTGTGCAGAGGGAGCCATTCTCTCCTCCATATGCTAGGACTCAACATCCTCCTTTGATTTAATAAAACAAGTCTCACTGCAACATTGCCAGCTCCAACCTCCTGCTCCCTCAGTGGGTTCCTGGAGCTATCCCATTCCACGGCCTTACCAGAATGAGGTTGCACGAACAGTAGCAGTGCATTGAGGACCCAAAGGGCTAGAGGGCTCATTGTGCAAGGCCCTACACAGGTTCATAAATGGGAGGGAGCCCGGGTCCCCAAAAACTGACCGCAAATGGACAAAGCATGGGAGAACGCAGGGGTCACAGCATTCCTGTTGCAGATGGAAGACCGAGGCACACTGGAGTTCCCAAGTCACCCAGGAAGTCTGTGACAGAGCAGGCAGCAAGAGGAGAGCGTGGAAGGTGCATAGATTACCCTGTCGTCAGGGCCACTCTGCTATCCATACCCAAAGCAGCTAGGCTTAAGCTAACCCGAGTAGGTCTGCATTGTGTTGTGCTTGCTTCTGTGCTGGGGTAAATCCATAAGACCTCCAAGGAAGTCATCAGGGTTTCCCCCAGGACATACAGCTGTCAAGCGGAGCTCAGAGTCCAGGCCGAGGAAAGAGGAAACGACAGGAAGTGGCAGCTGCGTTGTAAGCTGTAGAGCCTAGTGAAATGAAAGGCTTTGGGTCCGATCCTAGTCTCATTTCAGCAGCGGCTCCACTGTGGTGGGCACTGCAGAATCTGACCCTTCATTTCAACGTCCCAGACCCTCTGCAAATTCCTCTTGGTTTCTGGCCTGCCTCCAAAGGGAACATTTCAGAACAGGGCTACTAGGTGGGGGAATTTCCTTTCCGTTCTAGGAAGTTGCAAGGCCCTAGGGCCCCCGAGCACTATTTTCAAATTGGGACCATTTTTGCTGGAGAGAGAGTGACTTACCTGGTCTGGAGAGACCTCCCAGAGCAGAGCTTTGCTTTGTCCATGCTTCAGTGCGAACGCCCTCCGAAGCCCAAGTACCTTAATCTTCCGCTGTTCCCCCAGAAAAGCGACGCTGTGCGGGGCCTGGGGAGCTGGATCTTGGGGGCTGCAGCCTGCAGCGAGGGCTTCACCAGCTTGGCAGGTATTGTTGTTTATCTTTGCAGACATTTGGTTTCTTATGAATGTGGAACACCCAGGTTTCGACGCACGCAATGAAACCGATACAGTAATTTCATTTCTTGGCCATAAATGAAATGGGCTGTAAAGTAAAGTTGGGTGTTTAAGCCAGACTGAAAGAATGAATTGTTCTAACGGGCAATGTTAATGAGAGGACTAACCATGTCTGAGATTAATACCTAAGGGGTCCTTGGTCTTTTCATTCCGCAATGCTCGGTGTTGCTAATTCTCAATGCACACCTCCCTCCCCCTTGGTCTACAATGTGTGGTCTAGTGGTTAGCACATGGCAGCAGGAGCCATCATTCCTGGGTTTCATTTCTGGCTCCATCGCTAACAACCTGTGTGGCCACGAGCAAGTCTCTTTGCCCCTCTGTGCCTCAGCCTTTGCATCTATACAACAGAGATATGGTGCCCCTCCAGCACAGGTGAGACTCAGACCGTTAGCTTTTGTAGAAGGGGCTTAGAGATCACCAGGTAAAAGGCGCTGGGGATGTGCAGAATGTGGCAAGCATGCAGCACAGAGAACCAAGCATGTGGAGGGAGCCCAGGGGTCAGGGAGGTCGAGGATGGACAAGGGGTCAGACTTGGCATGTGGAATAACCCCTGACTTCAGGACCATGGGACTTGCCAGACCGGACCAAATCCAAGGTCCCTTTAGCCCTGGAAGTGACTGGAACCAGTTGTTTCAGAGAAGGATGAAAGACCCTAAGGGAAATGCTCCAATCTAACTCCCAGGACAGGTCTCCTCCTGTTCCATAGTTAGAGACCGGTACAAGTTCAGAAGTGCAAGGATTTGAAGATGTTGGACAGGAAAATTTTCAACATAATTCTGGCTGGAAAAATGTTTTATACCTTGAAAATATTCACAAGATGAGAAAAGCATTTTGTGCTTAGCCCTATTCACGGGACCGAGAAGATTGAACTAGTTGATCAGGTAGGGACACTCCTATTTCATACCACTGGTTAGCAATAAAGAGGATGAAGCTTTTTCTGTCTTGGGCTCATCGTCCAGGTATCTGAGCTTGCACTGTTACATCCTCTAACTGCGTTTCAGCATACCTAATAAACACTGCCAACAGCCAGCACAGGTCTGAAGTCAGAATGGGCCTAAAGCTGGAATACCCGTAACTTCACAGGGCTTTAAAACCAGGATGCAAATTGCATGGGTGAAAGTCATCTCTATAACAGACTAACAAGGAGCAATGGTCTCAAGTTGCAGCAAGGGAAGTTGAGGTTAGATATAAGGAAAAAAACAAAAAAAAAAAAACAAAAAAAAAAAAAACTCACCAGGAGGGTAGTAAAGCACTGGAACAGGTTACCCAGAGTGGTTGCAGAGTCTCTATCCTTGGAAGTTTTAAAAACCCAGCTAGACAAAGCCTTAGCTGGGACAATATAGTTGGGGCTGGTCCTGCTTTGAGCAGGGGGTTGGACTAGATGCAACCTCTTGAGGTCCTTTCCAACCCTCATTTTCTATGATCCACTGCTGTTAGTAACAGCATGGCAGGACTGCAGGTTAGCTCCAACTGAGTTCTGGGCCCAGCTGTACTAGGTGTTGCATTTACACCTAACAAATCAGTCCACGCACCCAAGAGCTTACGGCTACATACCAGAGGCACAAGTAATCATGGAAGGTATCGTTCTCCATGGAGAATGGAATCATCATCATCTTTATGTTAAAGGCAGGGAACAGAGGCACAGAGAAGGTAAATGACTTGCCTGAGCTCAAGTAGGAAATCTATGGCAGACCACAGAAATGAATCTTGATCCCCGAGTCTCCCTCTGGTGACAGAACCAAGGACCACTCGTTTCTCATCCATCATGAGAGCTCCCCTGGAAACGAACATAAGTGAACAACTCCCAGCTTTGGGCAGGACTAGCCTCAAACACCCCTCAGAGCAACCACCTCTGCCATGGTGGGGGTGCTTGTGGCCTAAAATCAAAGTTTCGCTTCTTGTATGCAGACTACAGCAGTTGCTAAGTGATCAGTTATCAACTCTTGTATATTGGCCAAAGTCCTAGGAGAATCCTTCCTTTCCAAATCACCAGTCTAAGGAAGAAGACAGTCTCTCTTTGTGAATGGACATGTACCTACAAAGGGCTGCACTATGTCCAACCCCCCACCCCCAGAAAAACAAACCTAACATTGGAAATAACTACAGATGTTGCAATCTCCATGGCCCCCATTTCATAGAGGTGATTTATTTTTCAGTGAAAAACAGCTCAGCTCTGATGGAAGGGGAGGGGTGAGTATGGAGACCTTTGACAAGTATAAAAATATGAGGGCTATATTATCCTAAAAACATTTTTTTAAACACAGTAAAAGCCCTATTGGGCAATGAGAAACTTTAGCCAAGTTCCTTAAATCAGCCCCCTAGTTCAGTTGTATTCCCTTGGAAATCCTTGCAAAGAAAAACACAGGGAATGAAAAATTTGGTTTTCATTAAAACCTTGAATGTAAGGGGTTCTGTAGTTTTCAATGGGTCTTTGATTCCTATGAATGATGGAATGTTTTCAGAACATTTAAAAAATGTTCTCCACTTTTCTATCTTATATCTGCAGAAAACTACACTGGATTTTTTAAAAACATGTAGCACAGTCAATAGAAGCAGAATGCATTAAATATAAATGCAACACCGTTACCCTTTATTTACCCTGAGGTTTTATTTAAAAATATGATGTTTTCTTGTGGCTTTGGAAACATGGTAGCTGATCCAAATCGGGGCTGTGGGAAAAAATGTGGAAAAATGTGGGTAAAATAAAATAGGTGGATTTTTCACTGGGAAGAAAAAAAAGCACAAACAAGGGGCGCCCAACACAGCAAGGCACCTGTATAACTCAGCACCAAAAATAACCCGTCACTCAGAAGAGAAGCATTTCAAACTCTCTTCTACCTTTATTCCAGTTTCTAGCTACAGAGGCAGTTTGGTACAAAGCACTGCCTAAGAGACAAGGTCCTTGCCCAGTCCAAAGCCATTATTTTGCCATAAACCAGATCTTTAGATGTGCTGACTAAGTAATAATACTCGACTTTTTCAGAGTAGAATTTACCCCTAGCTATAGAATTATGGCCTAAAATTTCAGTGGCATATTTGCTTCCTTTTAAAAAAAAATTTTTTTTAAAGCATGCTTCCAGCCTTACAGTTATGAAGACAGTATGTCAAGCATCTGTAATACATGCCTGAATCTGCAGAGAGCCTGAAACAGCAGGTCTAAGAGGTGTGCACTGCCCCATTCATTTCAGAGAGGGCTGTATCGACTCTCCAAATCTATGGTAGTCGAGTGTTTTTTTATTTCTTATTTTGTGGATGTTGTAGTTGAATGTGTGGTGTTTTGTTGCCTGGGACTTACCTACAGCTATCCTTCGTTATCCCATCGCTCTACATGAAGGGAGACACATTCCATCAGCTCCTTTTCCTTACTTTGTCCCACAGAGCAGGGGATTAGGGACCCAGAGGCAGCATCCAGGAAGTAGCTTGACATTGCAGGTTGAGCTGCCTGAAGAAAAAACAAAAGACGAGGCTCAGGAAAGCAGGGTCCATCAGTAATGGAAGCCAACTACAAGTTGCAGAAGCACTCTCAAACAAGCTGCACCAAAGGAGGCTTCCTCCCAACATGGAAGCAGTGTAGCCACTTTGGGAGAAGTGGCTAATCAGCACTGCTGAGTCACTGAGCCAATTATCCCATACCTAGGTTTTCATTGTCAGCTCACCCACAGCTGCGCCACATGCTTAAGGGCTCCACTCCCAGGTGGGGCAAGTTTACCACGGAGGCATGCCTCAAGGGCTTGGAGAGCCTGCTGGTAGGCGGACCCCAGAGAACCACCTCCATCCGTCTGCATGGAGGACCTGTCACCTACCAGGCTCAGGGGAAACTACCTCTGCATGCCGATGTGAGTGATCCCCTGAGGCCTGGCCACACCACAACTTAAAGCAAATCACTCCCTTTCCAAGGCAGAATACAGCCCTCTGAGCGCCCCTGGTGCATGCATACACATGACACCCATGGATTTTGGGTGGTGTCAAGGAAAAGAAAAGCCATCTTCTCAAAGCCCTCCTGTCTTCCTTCCCATCACTAGACTGATGCTCTTTCTGCTGCATTAGTGTCACATTAGCAGAAGGTGGAAAGGGACCAGAAGTCCAACTTTAACAAAAGGCCCCACTGTCTGGAGCAGAGCTGCGTTTCATCATGCCATCACGATCTGTGCCAGCAGCCCAGGCCAACCTCATACCGCTTACTGGGGCTGGAGCGCCCATGTTAAGCAGCATTCTTTCGCTAGCAAGGAGTTTACTAGCCTGCGTGCAGAGAACAATACCTGTGCTAGCCCAGAGCTGGCAGGTAGCCACGCTTCACAATAAGCAGCCAAATTAAACAGTTGTCTGGCACACTCTTATTTCTTATTTATCAAATATTCATTTCAGAGGGCTTTGCTGGTGCCAAGATATTTGAATAAACCCAAACAAATGTCATTCATACCTGTGCCTGCTAACCCCTCAAAGAGGTATTTTTGTGCAAATACACTAGCATGCGTTTGTTTAAGCGCCTGCAACCTAATCCAAAGCCCAAAGAGCAATAGAAAAAATTCCCACCAGGCTCTGCACCGGACCCTGGTGGCCAAATATTTACAGCATTACTCTGCTTCTATTTAGTTCTTTATTCAGTGACTTAGCTGGAAGGCAACGAGTGCTACAGTTGGGGAACTGGCCTGGGAGTCAAGAGAAATGCATTTTGAAGCCAGCTCTGCCACTGACTGGCAAAGATAGCTTAAGCTAATGTGCTTAACTTCAGTTTTGTTATCTATCAAATGGGGACAATTGCTGTTTCCATCTCTGCAATGCCCTGCCCACTCTTAGACTAAGTTCTTTGGAGCAGGCACCACCTTCACATCAAAACAGCACCTAGTATAAGCCTTGACTGTATTAGAATACATGGCAAGCCCAAATAGTGACAGGGAAAGCAAGGGGTATAAACAATAGAAGTGGAATGAAAAAGGGAATAAGGACCTTGAGGATGCAGATCACTGGGCACGTCTGCACCACATCTCAGTGGTTCCCAAGCAGGGATACTCCAGGACATGCTCCATCCTCCTCTCCAGCTAACATTCCCCAAACCTAGAAACACATGTGCCAGTGAAGCTGCTCTGGGGACATCCACATGGACTCATTCTCAAGGCTTCGGTCTCTGGCATCCTTGAGGGTGATGTGGGGACACCTGCAGAACGGTGGCATGGGTGCATTTCTGGGTTTGGGGCATATGAGCAGGAGTAGATGAACAGGATGTGACACTGTGGGGACATACTAGGGATGTGGTGTAGATGCACCCATTGTGGCCATCAAGAAAGAGTTGTTACCAGCAAGATGTCTAGTGGCACCAATCCAAAAGCATCATTAGCTTCGCTGGTGTTACATCAGTAATAAGCCTGGCCCACCATGGCTAATTTAAGATTCGGACTTAATATAGACTCTTTTATTAGCTTCTAAAAGTGTTCTATGCCGGGAACCTTTGAGTAACAAGTGGATGTATAAAAACTACTCAACTCCCTGCCTGCCACTAGAAATAAAAACATTAAATCATTTTTTGCAATTAACTTTTGTAAAATTTTACATTTGTACTAAGAATAGTTACTTGCATCTGCATCCATCAACTCAATATTGCACCCAAAGATGTAATAAAATGCTCTCCTAAACATGCTGGACTAGAATAGTCCACTTCTGTACAGCCTTTCATACGGGAATCCCAAGGTGCTTTGCTGACATTAAGCTAATTAAGACCCACAACATCCCCAGCAGTGTTACTGTAACAGATGGCAAGGGTAAAGCAACCAAATAGGAAGCAACCTGCTCAAGGTCACACAACTTTACCTTCCTTGGGACAAGCGTGGTCTTCTTCCAGGGAAAGAAACATGCAAGAGCAAGCTCACTGTAACGTCCAGTGTGAATATGAGGCATTTTAAAGTCAGTGCAATCCCTGTGGCCAGTGGCTGGGAAAGGGGCAGGCAGGAGCACCCCCCCCCCCCGTTTCCACTACATCTTTCCAGCGGCATGGGTGAGACACTGAGTCACTTTCCATGTACAGTTATCATGGGAGAGCTGTGTGTCTGTCCGCTCCAGATCCCAGTGTAACTCAGATTAGCAAACCAAACCAATGGAAATTACACCCACATAAGTGCACTGTGACACCAAGCCCTCACCCACCCACAAGCTCCATACCCAGAGATCCAGTAGCGAGCTCCTCACAATCAAACCCAAAGGCCACTTTCAAGCCCCATGGTCTCAAAAGCAACTACGGTGGGAAGTCCCAGGAATGGCTTCACCACTGCATTTTACCTCTGCAGACCTGCAGGCAGGGAGAGATGAAATAACTTGTTCAAAGGTCACACAGGAAGTGTGGGGGGCAGCTAGGAAATTAAGCTATAGCCAAAAGCCCCTGCTTTTTTTTAAAATTATGTAGAATAAAGGGTTTAGAGCACAGAGATGTATTTATTTTTGCACAGGTGTAAAACTTACATGGTGTTTGCTCTCCCAACACTGCCAAAATACCAGGAAAATTCAACTGTCCCCTTGAAGGGGGAGTCTGAGAACCTTGCAGATTATTTTTAAAAGGAGCACCTGATCACATTTGCACAGATCCCACAGTTCAGTGGCATCTGATGCCAGGAGGGACACCTTAACTAGACAGAGATGTGGCCTTCACTGGGGTGCCCAGGCCTTTGGTGAGCGAGGGTGCAGACAGAACAGTGGGAGTGGACAGGACTTGTTTTGTCAGAGGCGTGACAGCTTTGCCTAGGATGTGGGATATACATAACACAAATCTCCCCAGCGAGGAAAGGTGCCTTCCACTGTGGTGGCCAGGTGTCTGCAATCCCCTTGTTAGAGTTGCAGTTGCAAATCTGCTGTCATAATTACCAAACCTCTGGTAATTAGTACTGTTCCCCTACCATTGCTACTCCTTTTAAAACTACCCACGTGTTAAACATTTTTTTTTTGATCAGCTTCAGAACAAAGGGAGGTTAAACAAGAAAGTCAACAAAGACTCTTCTATAAGCCAGCACACAAAGTGGTGTTAAACTGTAGCCTGATGAGCTATAAGCATTTTTTGCCTGTAGGCAAATGTTATTAGATTAAAAACAAGCCCCTCTTCATGGATTTCTTTTCACTCTTCCCAAGACCAATTAGTTTAAAACTGTGGGACAAAAAGACTTGAAAAGAGACTCATCCATTAATAGGAGATAGTTTGACTTGCTGCAATTTTACAAATAAACTGCTTTTAAAAGTTTGACTTGTGGTACACTTTTGGCAAATTCTGACCCTTAAATATACAGCTCCTTGCATTCTCGATTGCTATCTGAAGGTTTATAAAAATATACAGGTGAATTGAATAAACGTTAACCATTTCTTAGCCAAGCCCCGCATATTTCCAACTGTGGATTATTTTGCCATTAGCAATAATGCAGATCTGATTTTAAGGGGATCCATTTCCTTCCTGCCTCCCTGTGAAAGAATCTCTACCCTGTTCTGTCTCCAATTACAGATGCCGAGATATTTTACAGAATGGCAACTGCAGGGTCCGATCCAGAACTCACCAAAATCAACAGGCTCTGGGTGGTGCCGTACTGACAAGGAAGCAGAGTCTAGGGGGTCTTAAAAGGATTGGGAGTCAAGAATCAGGATTAATGCCAGCTCTGCCCCCGATTTGCTCTGTAACCTGTGCCTAGCACTGGGGGGTCTACAGCTCAGTGCTTCTCTAGCTGCTTAACTTCTCTATGTCCTAGCTCATCTTTCTGCAAACTGGATACAGTTCTACTCCAGGGGTGCTGTAAGGCTTTGATTCAAGTTCACAAAACCCCTTAGAGGCTCTTGGCTTTCAAATGCAAAGTATTTTTATTCTTACTTTAAAAATAAGAATCCGAGTTAATCTGTGGCTTGGGAAAGGTTCTAGCCCAACCATCCAAAGAGCACAGCTCTCTGACAGGCAAAGGGCAAGAGGAATCCAAGGCACAAAGAGGTCAAACGACTTGTTCAAGGTTGCACAGCAGGTTGGGGGGAGAAGTGCAATTAGGCTACTACAGCTGAGGGAACCATTTTTTCTTTAGGAATATTACATTTACTAATACACACACACACACACATATACATATACACATTATATCCAGCTATATATTTATGGACTTTTCGTTTTGAAATTACTGTTTTTGTTTAAGACCTGACCTAAATTTGAAAGGATTTAAGAAGTCCAAGAAATTAACTACAATATTTTGCCTGGGGTCAGGAGAACTGGTTTTGGTTGATCCCAACTGGAATTTTTTTTTGTTTTCCATTTCTGTAAGTCTCTCCAGAGTTTAGCTCAAACTGACCCCCCCCCTGTTTTTTTGGTTTGGCCACTGAACCAGAGTCCATTATTTTCCCAGCTCTAGAGGCTAATACCCAGTCACTGCAACACACTGCTTCTCAAAAGAGTCCTGCAGCTTTATCCCACCCAGCAGTGTGTTTTTTCATAGG